TGCAGAGCATACTTATACTTCTACTGGAATCTTACTCCATATCATTCAAACCTATAATTATCTCATACTTTCTAAAACCAAGAAAGAACTTGAAAAGTTTAGAAGAACATGATTAGAACACTGGAATTTTATTTTTGAATTTTCGATGTCATATAATGAAAAAGAGCTCCCCTTTTTATAGAGGAAGAAGAGCATAACAAACAAACTAGACTCACGCGTTTTTTCCGACAAAGTGGACACACTGCATTATTTTACACACATAATATAAACTTTTCTGACTTGGCTTATCTGTATTTTATAAAGAAAGATTCTTATCACAATAATATTAACAAACGGATAAGTGACTCAACAAAAAGAGAAACAACTTTTAAATAAATAAAACTTTAACTTTAATAAAGCAGATCTTGCAGGAGTGTCCAAATTCATTGAATCTTCTGGTCGTAGAGGCAAACCATATTGATTCATTCATAGTTCTTGAGTGTCTAGGGGTTTTTTGTCATGTGCTTGTAAAAGTTTCATGAGTTCTGGTTCATCAAGTTCATATGGATCCTGTGAATCTTGTAACATACTTTCATTGAGCTAACGAAATGATTCATTTTGTGGTGTTCTTGTTCCTGTTTCCATTGTTTTTTCTTTTTTTATTCTGATTGATTACTTGATACTGCTTTTTCTTTTCCTTTTTCAACACTGCGATTCAAGATGTCAAGAAGTTGTCCTCCAATTTTCATTTATTTTTTCCTTAGCTGGCTTCCTTCTGGAGTTCTCTCTGAATATCTGGATGTTTCTCTAAGACTTTGTGTAGGTCTTTCCTCATACAGCTGTCCTCATTGATAATCAAATCATAATTATACTCTGTGTCACTTACTGTATAAAATCTTTGAAGATGCTTATCTTGGAACTTCTTGATATCATTGGCAATTCTTTGAGTATATTCCACTGGCAAAGCTTCCCATGGAGCATCAGCTTTATAATCTGGCCGAATTTGTGGAGGAATAGGTTGATTGATTTCTGCCATTTTTCTTTGAAATTCTCAAAAGTCATGAGCCTATCATTCCCAGTTTTGATGCATGTTGAATGGTTGAACTGCATACTCCTTAACATGGGAAAAATGAGCATACATTCCTACTTCAGTGAAATATCCCGTCTTTGAAAAATTAAAGTCATGTAGACATTATTTTTAAAAGTTCTGAGATCTTTAAATTTCAAAGAAAATGCTTGAAACATTTTTATCCAATGAGAGATTGGATAGAACCACTAAAAAAACTTTTTTTACAAAATAATCAATGGTTCTAAATGGAAAATCTAAGTTCATTTGACAGAATGTTTCACGTGTATTTGAAGTATTAAAAGAAATTTCAATTTGCCAAAATTCTAAAAGATACGACAAAAGACAAAGTGTCTCTTTTGAAAATTTCAGTGCAATGTGTTTTGGATCAAAACGAAAATGTAAAGAATGGATAATTTGGATGAAATCCAAGACCACCAAGTGTTTCAATTCTAGTATGTCTAATCACAATGGAATGGTATTTGAGCATAAGATCTTTAGATCTGGATTTGAGAG